TGGTGTACCATTTACATGAAATCGGACGAAACTATATATGGAAGCTATATCTAAATCTGGACGGATTTTCTCGAAACTTGGCAGACATCACTCTAGACTTAATTCAGTACGTTATGCCAAATTTCGTGCAAATCGAAAGATATATAGGGACTTTGGTGCACCATTTACATGAAATCGGACGAAACTATATATGGAAGCTATATCTAAATCTGGACCGATTTTCACGAAACTTGGCAGACATCTCTCTAGGCTTAATTCAGTACGTTATGCCAAATTTCGTGCAAATGGTGCACCATTTACATGAAATCGGCCGAAACTATATATGGGAGCTATATCTAAATCTGGACCGATTTTCACGAAACTTGGCAGTCATCATTCTAGACCTAAATGATTAGGCTGTACCAAATTTCGTGCAAATCGAAAGATATATAGGGACCGTTTACATTAAATCGGTTAAATATATATATGGGAGCTATATCTAAATCGGGACCGATTTTTCCCAATTTCAATAGGGTTCGTCCTTGGGCCGAATAAGTGACATATGCCAAATTTCATCCAATTCGGATCATAAATGCGACCTCTACTTTGTTTACAATTTAACATGCACAGACGGACGGACGGACGGACATGCATAAATCGACTTAGAAAGTGATTCTATGCATATTCTCAAAAGGAACCATGTGTCTATCTCGTTTCCTTTTGCCTGTTACAAACATATGCACAAAGACATAATACCCTGTACCACAGTGTGGTGAAGGGTATAAAAACATAACGTTTACACACACACACACATATATTACATGTTTTATTTACTCTTGAAGTCAATACCACCATCATAACCTTGCAGGCACAAAAAAAAAACATATATTCGCTGTTAAGCAAATATTATTGGGGAAATGAAAGAATTGCAAATAAGTCAATTCCGTACATATGTAATAAATATTACATACTATATATGTAACATATGTTATATGATGTTTAACAAATGAAATAAATGTTGAAATGAAAGTTTACATTTTAATTGATTATATTAAAGTTGACTTTGTTTGGAATTAATTTTTAATTTCGGCGACAATTGTTGATTTATTACAAACATACATACATATGAGTATCTCTGTAAACATGTGCTATTTAAAAAAAATTTTGAGATTTGTTTTTGATTTCAAGTTTTTTTTTGCTGTGCCTGGCCCCATGGCCCCTTTTGAAACTCACAACTGCCATTCATACGCAGAATGATTTAATTATTTAATTTGCAGCGTCTTATTTTCAAATGTTGCTGCAGACAGATTGGGAATGAGACAGTATTGGGATTTTTTATTATAACTCATTTTATTAAAAATTATTTCAATAATCAATTTAAAAAAAAATGTAAACAAATGCCTCATTTAATTACACAAAAAAACAAAACATACTAATACAATAGATTTGTCTTTTGAAAATTTATTTTTTGTATCAGTAAAATTATTCAACTCAATTTGTTATTCAAAATTCCTTGTCCTAATTTCTTCAGCCACCACTGTAAGCCAGTATTTAGCTGGCATTAAATAAGGCTACACAATATACGGCGTATCCTCCTTTTAACGTAGTTGAGTGTTTGGTAAGGATGTGCGGCGTACATTTCGTTTCGCACAATTACAAAATAACAAGCAACAAGTTTGTCTTTCATTCTTTTTTTGCTTTGCCGCATGCTGGCCTCATTCTGGGCTCTTTTTCTATCGTTTTGTTTTCGAAAATCTGATTACTCGGAAAGTTATCAAAAGCATGTCAAGCAACTCAAAGTTGGGCGCCACTCACACACACACACGAATACAAAAGAGCAACAGTTTATGAATTTGACATTTAATAGATAATCTTATATCTATTTTGACATATCATGGGCGGCAATGATTTAAGAAAAAAACAAAAATTTTAAAATCTCGTAGGCCAATTATGTACATATGTATGTATGAATGTGTAAATTTACTTAATAAGCGAATGAGAGTTTAATTTGGGGACAATTGTTTGTATTTTAATATAATCATAATATATTGTTGGCAACTCTGTATTATTTAATGCCTCAAACTTCAATTCAGCTTGGCTGAATAAGGTTTTCTATAGAAAATCTTCAATTCAGCCTGGCTGAATAAGGTTTTCTATAGAAAATTTTCAATTCAGCCTAGCTGAATAAGGTTTTCTATAGAAAATCTTCAATTCAGCCTAGCTGAATAAGGTTTTCTATAGAAAATCTTCAATTCAGCCTAGCTGAATAAGGTTTTCTATAGAAAATCTTCAATTCAGCCTGGCTGAATAAGGTTTTCTATAGAAAATCTTCAATTCAGCCTGGCTGAATAAGGTTTTCTATAGAAAATCTTCAATTCAGCCTGGCTGAATAAGGTTTTCTATAGAAAATCTTCAATTCAGCCTGGCTGAATAAGGTTTTCTATAGAAAATTTTCAATTCAGCCTGGCTGAATAAGGTTTTCTATAGAAAATCTTCAATTCAGCCTGGCTGAATAAGGTTTCCTATAGAAAATCTTCAATTCAGCCTGGCTGAATAAGGTTTTCTATAGAAAATCTTCAATTCAGCCTGGCTGAATAAGGTTTTCTATAGAAAATCTTCAATTCAGCCTGGCTGAATAAGGTTTTCTATAGAAAATCTTCAATTCAGCCTGGCTGAATAAGGTTTTCTATAGAAAATCTTCAATTCAGCCTGGCTGAATAAGGTTTTCTATAGAAAATCTTCAATTCAGCCTGGCTGAATAAGGTTTTCTATAGAAAATCTTCAATTCAGCCTGGCTGAATAAGGTTTTCTATAGAAAATCTTCAATTCAGCCTGGCTGAATAAGGTTTTCTATAGAAAATCTTCAATTCAGCCCAGCTGAATAAGGTTTTCTATAGAAAATCTTCAATTCAGCCCAGCTGAATAAGGTTTTCTATAGAAAATCTTCAATTCAGCCCAGCTGAATAAGGTTTTCTATAGAAAATCTTCAATTCAGCCCAGCTGAATAAGGTTTTCTATAGAAAATCTTCAATTCAGCCTGGCTGAATAAGGTTTTCTATAGAAAATCTTCAATTCAGCCCAGCTGAATAAGGTTTTCTATAGAAAATCTTCAATTCAGCCTGGCTGAATAAGGTTTTCTATAGAAAATCTTCAATTCAGCCTGGCTGAATAAGGTTTTCTATAGAAAATCTTCAATTCAGCCTGGCTGAATAAGGTTTTCTATAGAAAATCTTCAATTCAGCCTGGCTGAATAAGGTTTTCTATAGAAAATCTTCAATTCAGCCTGGCTGAATAAGGTTTTCTATAGAAAATCTTCAATTCAGCCTGGCTGAATAAGGTTTTCTATAGAAAATCTTCAATTCAGCCTGGCTGAATAAGGTTTTCTATAGAAAATCTTCAATTCAGCCTGGCTGAATAAGGTTTTCTATAGAAAATGTTCAATTCAGCCTGGCTGAATAAGGTTTTCTATAGAAAATCTTCAATTTAGCCTGGCTGAATAAGGTTTTCTATAGAAAATCTTCAATTCAGCCTGGCTGAATAAGGTTTTCTATAGAAAATCTTCAATTCAGCCTGGCTGAATAAGGTTTTCTATAGAAAACCTTCAAATCAGCCTGGCTGAATAAGGTTTTCTATAGAAAATCTTCAATTCAGCCTGGCTGAATAAGGTTTTCTGTAGAAAATCTTCAATTCAGCCTGGCTGAATAAGGTTTTCTTTAGAAAATCTTCAATTCAGCCTGGCTGAATAAGGTTTTCTATAGAAAATCTTCAATTCAGCCCAGCTGAATAAGGTTTTCTATAGAAAATCTTCAATTCAGCCCAGCTGAATAAGGTTTTCTATAGAAAATCTTCAATTCAGCTTAGCTGAATAAGGTTTTCTATAGAAAATCTTCAATTCAGCTTAGCTGAATAAGGTTTTCTATAGAAAATCTTCAATTCAGCCTGGCTGAATAAGTTTTCCTATAGGTAAACTTCAATTCAGCCTGGCTGAATAAGATTTCCTTTTGGTAATCTTCAATTCAGCCTAGCTGAGTACGGTTTTCTGTAGATTATCTTCAATTCAGCCTAGCTGGATATGATTTCCTGTAGATAATCTTCAATTCAGCTTAGCTGAATATGGTTTCCTATAGGCGATCTTCAATTCAGCCTAGCTGAATACGGTCTCTTATAAGTAATCTTCAATTCAGCCTAGCTGAATACGAATTTTTATAGATAAACTTCAATTCAGCTTAGCTGAATATGGTTTCCTATGGGTAATCTAAAAATTATTTGTCTCCTTATACCTTATTGATGCCTTTAAAGCCCTTAGAAAAGCTAATCGTTTTAGTTTTCCTATTTTACTTTCAAGTCCTTGCATATTCAGAAAACTTTTACCCTTTCGAATATGTCATCATGCATGTGCATGAAACGTCATAGTTTTTACCGCTTTGAAGTTGAATTTAGTAACTTTGAGAGTGTGTACCGAAGACTTAGGCTACGAACCAAAACAAAACTCTCTTTTTTTAAGTTTCCTCTAAGAAACCAAATAATAGAATCAAACAAAAGACACGAACGAACGGGAAAAACAAATAAAAACAATTTAAACTTTACATACACACACACATACGAGTGACTTCAACACGAAGTGGAAAAGCTACAGAAAAACTGCTAAGTCAATAGGTTTTCTTTTTTGTCTTCAAAGAAAAAAGCGAACACAAAGAGACAGAAGTGGAGGACAAATGAACCGACAATCAAACATTAAAAGGTAAGGCAGTCGGATTCAGTCGTCAGTCAAATTGTCTGGCAGTAAACAATTGCCGCAAAGCTGGCGGCAGACAGCAAAGATTGTGAGGGGGAATGAGGTGGTTCGGTGGTGGGGGTGGTATGGATTACAAAAGCCCATGAAGAGGCCAGTCTGAACAAATACGAAAATGATGATTCTGCCAACAGCTGTTGGTTGCTCCATGGCTCTTATTAGCATCATAAGTTAGAAATCAGGTGGAACATGTTTTTTCCTGAACAGTAAGAATAGAACTTCGACTTACCTTTCAATGCCGGACATATTCGCCGCCATATACTCAAACAGCCGCAACGATGAAATTGTCCCAATACCAGTTCCATATAGAACAGAGGCAGTCCACCGAATACCAACATAATGCAATAGGGTATTAAGAAGGCTCCGCCACCATTCTGGTAACAGATGTAGGGGAAACGCCAAACATTGCCCAAATCAACGGCAAAGCCAATGACGGCCAAAAGAAATTCGGCTTTTTGGCCCCATGTTTCACGGCGACGTTCTGTTACGGAGACAACGAGGACACGCTGGAATAACAAAAATAAGAACAATAAATAATTAAAAACAGGAAACGGATATTGAATGATTTTTCCAGCTGAATAAGTTTTCTTGAGTGAAATTTTTAATTTATCCCAGCTGAATAAGCTGTTCTATATAAAATTTTCAATTCAGCCCAGCTGAAGTTGGTTTTCTATTGAAAATCTTCAATTCAGCCCAGCTGAATAAGGTTTTCTATAGGAAATCTTCAATTCAGCCCAGCTGAATAAGGTTTTCTATAGGAAATCTTCAATTCAGCCCAGCTGAATAAGGTTTTCTATAGGAAATTTTCAATTCAACCCAGCTGAATTAGGTTTTCTATAGGAAATCTTCAATTCAACCCAGCTGAATTAGGTTTTCTATAGAAAATCTTTAATTCAGCCTGGCTGAATAAGGGTTTCTATAAGAAATCTTCAATTCAGCCTGGCTGAATAAGGGTTTCTATAAGAAATCTTCAATTCAGCCTGGCTGAATAAGGGTTTCTATAAGAAATCTTCAATTCAGCCTGGCTGAATAAGGTTTTCTATAAGAAATCTTTAATTCACTGTGGCTAAATTAGATTTTTTATAGCAAATCTTTAATTCACCGTTGCTGAATTAGGTTTTCTATAGAAAATCTTTAATTCACCGTGGCTGAATTAGGGTTTCCATAGAAAATCTTCAATTCAGTCTGGCTGAATAAGGTTTTCTATAGAAAATCTTCAATTCAGCCTGGCTGAATAAGGTTTTCTATAGAAAATTTTCAATTCAGCCTGGCTGAATAAGGTTTTCTATAGAAAATTTTCAATTCAGCCTGGCTGAATAAGGTTTTCTATAGAAAATTTTCAATTCAGCCTGGCTGAATAAGGTTTTCTATAGAAAATTTTCAATTCAGCCTGGCTGAATAAGGTTTTCTATAGAAAATTTTCAATTCAGCCTGGCTGAATAAGGTTTTCTATAGAAAATCTTCAATTCAGCCTGGCTGAATAAGGTTTTCTATAGAAAATCTTCAATTCAGCCTGGCTGAATAAGGTTTTCTATAGAAAATCTTCAATTCAGCCTGGCTGAATAAGGTTTTCTATAGAAAATCTTCAATTCAGCTTGGCTGAATAAGGTTTTCTATAGAAAATCTTCAATTCAGCCTGGCTGAATAAGGTTTTCTATAGAAAATCTTCAATTCAGCCTGGCTGAATAAGGTTTTCTATAGAAAATCTTCAATTCAGCCTGGCTGAATAAGGTTTTCTATAGAAAATCTTCAATTCAGCCTGGCTGAATAAGGTTTTCTATAGAAAATCTTCAATTCAGCCTGGCTGAATAAGGTTTTCTATAGAAAATCTTCAATTCAGCCTGGCTGAATAAGGTTTTCTATAGAAAATCTTCAATTCAGCCTGGCTGAATAAGGTTTTCTATAGAAAATCTTCAATTCAGCCTGGCTGAATAAGGTTTTTTATAGAAAATCTTCAATTCAGCCTGGCTGAATAAGGTTTTCTATAGAAAATCTTCAATTCAGCCTGGCTGAATAAGGTTTTCTATAGGAAATCTTCAACTCAGCCCAGCTGAATAAGGTTTTCTATAGGAAATCTTCAACTCAGCCCAGCTGAATAAGGTTTTCTATAGAAAATCTTCAATTCAGCTTGGCTGAATAAGGTTTTCTATAGAAAATCTTCAATTCAGCTTGGCTGAATAAGGTTTTCTATAGAAAATCTTCAATTCAGCTTGGCTGAATAAGGTTTTCTATAGGAAATCTTCAATTCAGCTTGGCTGAATAAGGTTTTCTATAGAAAATCTTCAATTCAGCTTGGCTGAATAAGGTTTTCTATAGAAAATCTTCAATTCAGCTTGGCTGAATAAGGTTTTCTATAGCTGAATATGGTTTTTCTTGATATATACCAATTCTATAACCCTTTAGCAATCAATAGAAGCAACAATTTTCTCGTCCTTCTCACCTTCACCTTCATCTTCTTCCTTGTTTATTTTTTTTTTTTTTATCGCACACTTACCTCATTATTTGTTAATTTAGGTGCCAAGGGATCTGTGACTTTCGCCGGTGTTGCATTATCCGTATCATCTTCATTCGAGTCATCCTCATTGGGTGGCGATTCTTTGTTATTGCTCCAGGGACTTGTCGTTGTTGTTGTTGTGCCCACGGTATTGTTTGTTACTGTTGCTGCCGCCGAGGATGCATTAGTGGCTGTTAAATTATTTGCAAATTCACAACTGTTGCTGCCGTTGGTTTTCTTTGAACGTTCCATGGTTAAGAGAGAGCGACTTCAATGGCCAATGTGGAACATAAAGAAGTCTATTGTAATGTCAATAATGAGGAGGGGGCTTGCAGGGTGACTGAATACTATTTTACTAGGGCAGTAGTCGCGTGAGAGAGTGTGTGTGTGTCTGTGTGCCTTCCCTAAGTTGTGTTACCAGTTTCTGATTGATTGGTATGGGCTTTTATATTTGTTTGGATTTTTTGTCAAACCTGCCTCTACTTCGATCCCTACCTCTCACTCTCTTTCCGTCTCTCACTTTCTGTCAGTTCTGTCTGCGAGTAATCGAATTACAAATTTTGTCACTTAAAGATCATTATCAGCCAGCCACTAACGTCATCATTAAAGCCACAACCGCTGCCACATGTTGTTGAGGTTTTGAAATGTTGAAATTATTTATTTATTGCACATTAGAAAATGTGTAATTTTTGTTATCCATTCTGGGTGTCAGATGTCAGCGGCAACCGAATCTGTTGTAGCCTGCAAATAGATATAAACACAGATAATAAATTCATCTAAATTAGTTGATTTGATGGGATTAAAAGATGCAACATTGTAATAAAAGTGGGGAATAATGACAAGTTATTGGCAATACGATTAAGCAGAATGGCTTTAATTGACACAAAATTACAATTCAGCTTAGCTGAATAGAGGTTTCGGTTACAAATCTGCAATTCAGCTAAGGTGAATAAGGGTTTTGGTTACAAATCTGCAATTCAGCTTAGCTGAATAAGGTTTTCGGTGCCTAATCTGTAATTCAGCTAAGCTGAATTTCAATTTCTTGAAAAAAATTTTAAATCATCTATGCTGAATCACAGTTGTCTTTAGGTAACCTTCAATTCAGCCTGGCTGAATAAGTTTTCCTATAGGTAAACTTCAACTGAATAAGTTTTCCTTTAGGTAAACTTCAATTCAGCCTGGCTGAATACGTTTTCCTATAGGTAAACTTCAATTCAGCCTGGCTGAATTAGTTTTCCTATAGGTACACTTCAATTCAGCCTGCCTGAATTAGTTTTCCTATAGGTACACTTCAATTCAGCATGGCTGAATTAGTTTTCCTATAGGTAAACTTCAATTCAGCCTGGCTGAATTAGTTTTCCAATAGGTAAACTTCAATTAGTTTTCCTATAGGTAATATGTTTTCCTATAGGTAAACTTCAATTCAGTTTGGCTGAATATGTTTTCCTATAGGTAAAATTCAATTCAGCTTGGCTGAATTAGTTTTCCTATAGGTAAACTTCAATTCAGCTTGGCTGAATTAGTTTTCCTATAGGTAAACTTCAATTCAGCTTGGCTGAATTAGTTTTCCTATAGGTAAACTTCAATTCAGCTTGGCTGAATTAGTTTTCCTATAGGTAAACTTCATTTCAGCTCTGCTGAATTAGTTTTCCTATAGGTAAACTTCATTTCAGCTTGGCTGAATTAGTTTTCCTATAGGTAAACTTCAATTCAGCCTGGCTGAATTAGTTTTCCTAAAGGTATACTTCAATTCAGCCTGTCTGAATTAGTTTTCCTATAGGTTAACTTCAATTCAGCTTGGCTAAATTAGTTTTCCCATATGTAAACTTCAATTCAGCCTGGCTGAATTAGTTTTCCTATATGTAAACTTCAATTCAGCCTGCCTGAATAAGGTTTTCCATAGAAAATCTTCAATTCAGCCTGGCTGAATAAGGTTTTCTATAGAAAATTTTTAAGTCAGCCTAGCTGAATTAGATTTTCTATAGGAAAACTTCAATTCAGCTAAGCTGAATAAGGTTTTCTACAGAAAATCTTCAATTTCAATTTAAGGTTTTCTATCGAAAATCTTCAATTCAGCCTAGCTGAATTAGGTTTTCCATAGAAAATCTTCAATTCATCCCAGCTGAATAAGGTTTTCTGTAGAAAATCTTCAATTCAGCCAACCTGAATTAGGTTTTCCATAGAAAATCTTCAATTCAGCTCGGCTAAATAAGGTTTTCTATAGAAAATCTTCAATTCAGCTCGGCTGAATAAGGTTTTCTATAGAAAATCTTCAATTCAGCCTAGCTGAATAAGTTTTCCTATGGGTCTACTTCAATTCTGCCCTACAGAATATGTTTTCCTATAACTAAATTTCAATTCAGCTTCATTTTATTTCATTTTCACGTCACTTGTGTGTTTTTACCTCTGACCACTTTCAATATAATACAAATTTAAACTGTTTACAAAAATGTTTAAACATTTTTTGCAATTAATTGCTATACATAAAATTGTTTCGCTTAATATTTCCTGGGCTGCCCCACAATTGACCCTGACCTTGAATTTGCAACCGGCTAAATAATTGTTCCGCCATGCATTGGGGAAACAAATTTTTGCAATAAATTCTGATATTGAATTCGCATACAAGGTTTTCAGTTTCGGTACACCTCCAATGCACGTGTGTGCGTAGGTGTGCATGTGTATGTTGGCTTATGCAAACATATATACAAATACCGTTTATCCTTAGCCAATAATGTTGGGATGTAATTAAAATTGCGCGCGCAAAAAAAAAAAACAACGCCGCTGGAATGGGAAGTTGTAAATTTGCGAAATAAAAATAATGTTGGCTTGGCAGGATAAAAACGAAATAAAATTAAAACATATATTTTTGTTTACATTTTAACGGCATAAAAAATCACAATAACAACAACAAACAAAATAACCAATATATAAAAAAAGGAATCATGTTTTTATTTGATCGAGAAAAAAACTGCCTTCGAAAAACATAATCTAATAGAGAGTCATGTTGGCTTTACTTGTCATGTTTGTTTAAATTTTTGCTACCTTGTTGTTGTTTTTCTTAAATATATTTTTATTAACATTTGTTTATTATTATTTATCATTAAATATTTTAACAACAACAAGAATTAAAATTCCTGTTTGGCGCCAATTTTTTTCAAAAGCATTAATCACAAGTCAAGTAAAGTCAAAACAGATTTATATCAAAATTTCGATACCAGTTTGGCATTAAATCGTCTCTTTGTTGTCACCTTAAAGGTGTTAAGATTTAATTTTGAAATGTATTTTTAATTGTTATTACTGTTGCTGTTGTTGTGGCGTATTAATTGAAACACACACACCACAAACAAGTAATCAAAAAATCTTAACGTCACATTTGTTTGTTTGTTTTTCACAAATAATTAGAAAACAATTTCAAAAATAATTTGCAAAGATATTTTTAAACACTTGTTTAACAGACACCGAAATGTAAATAGAAGAAGTCGACTATCGGGGATGCTATGAAGACAATTAAAGTACATTTAAAATTACGATATCCACTCGTTCTTCAATAAGGGAGTTGAAAGAGCAATTCTTATTGGAAAAATGTACAGAGTGGTAGAGTTCAACATGAATCAGCTGATTCGAAAACATCTGTATTATGAACCCTATAATAAGGTTTTTATACTCTTCACCACACTGTGGTACAGGGTATTATGTCTTTGGGCATATGTTAGTAACAGGCAAAAATAATCGAGATAGACCCATGGTTCCTTTTGAGAATGTGCATAAAATCACTTTCTGAGTCGATTTATTAAAATTTTAAACAAAGTACAGGTCGCATTTATGATCCGAATTGGATGAAATTTGGCACAGTTCATTTGTTTGGCCCAAGGACGAACCCTATTAAAATTGGGAAAAATCGGTTTCGATTTAGATATAGCTTCCATATATAGTTTCGTCCGATTTAAGGTAAATTATGTACCAAAGTCCATATATATCTTTCGATTTGCACGAAATTTGGCATAGCGTAATGAAATAAGTCTAGAATGATGTGTGCAAAGTTTCGTGAAAATCGGTTCAGATTTAGATACAGCTCCCATATATAGTTTCGTCCGATTTAAGGTAAATTGTATAAAAAAATACCTATATATCTATATAACCTAATTGTTTACGCATACCTTTAATCATGATCTAAATATCGATCAGCTGATCTTTGTTTGTATGCATACAAAAATTACTAATTTGCACCAAAAATATTAGTTGCAATTTAAAAATGAAAACAAAACTTGCAACAATGGAAATATTTTTGCAATGCTGTGATCGTTTGAAAAGTAAAAAAAGTCAACTAAAACACACAAAAATTCTATAAATAATTTTTGTTTTCCTTTGATTTTTCATTTTTGCATTTGGCAACCCTTTATAAAATCAAACAACATGTGAAAACAGTTGTAAATTTTTGTACATTATGAGAGGGTTGTATTTTTTCGTACAAGAATCGCGTTGCATCTCATTAAGTGGGCCACACACGTCAAACATTGCTTCGATTCACAGCGATCGAACGCAAGGTGTTCACACCGATTTAGCGGTGCGCACACCGATCGAAAGAAATTAAAAATTTTTAATTTTTCGACGTGCGACGCGCACATGTTTGACGTCTGTGGCCTGATGTGTGGATATTTTCACTTTTGTAGTGAAATTTCGTGGAGTGCGGATCAGCTGACAATGTCAATCATATGCAAAAAAAATATGTTTTGGAAGAATTGTTTAATGTTTTTTACAAATATCCTACAGTATGTGAAATAAAAATATTTTTCCGGAAAAAAAATAAATGTATTTAATAAATTTATATTAAATAAAAATATTTGGTATTTTTTTCCGTCATCGCTATCGCTGACCGTCTTCACGCTTCACGAAATGAAGTTTTGTGGATCCGTTTGACGTGTGTGGACTAGCAGTTTCACACCGATCGAAAGCACATGTTTGACGCGTGTGGTCCACTTTAGTATCATGATTTCGATCATGACTTCAAATAAATCCTGCAGCACGATGATTTAAATCTGTATAGTTAATCATAGTAAATTTAGCCTGATGAAGAAAATAGCCCCTGATTCGTAATATAATCATGATCAAATGTTATATTTAAATCCGCTTTTAATCGTATCCTGGCTTTTTAGAGCAATGCAAAATTATGCAATGTTGACAATCAGCTGTTATTTGTTTACTTATACATTACAATTATTCAAACTATATTTTCATTATTCTAATAAGAATTG